CCCCACCTACAGAGACCAGAGGGCTGTGAACGCTTGAGCCAGGGCGCGCCCCTCTTCTGCTCAAGAACCCTCCATGGCTCCCAAGTCGCTGGGAGCCATCTGCTCCAGCCCCTCCCTGCCCTCACCTCTTCCCTCTCTCCTCCTCGCTCATTCCCTCCACCCGCACAGGCACCCCTGGGTCTACCGAATGTTTCCACCTCCTGGCTTTTGCATAGGCCGTTCCCTTTGCCCAGAACACCCTTCCCCTAGAGTCCCGCCCAGGGCTCCTCCCTCATGTCCTCTGGTCTTTGCTCAAGTGCCACCTACTCAGAGAGGCCTTCCCTGACCTCCCCTCCCTAAAACTGCAGCCACCATGTGCCCATGTCTTCCTCCCTTAATTTTCTTCTGTGCCACTTGTCATCATGTGACATCCTGTATCTTTTATTTATTTGTCTGATCTTGTCTGTTTTCCCGATTAGAACGTCACCCCCATAGGGCAGATATCGGTGTTCACCGCTGGGCCCCCAGCACCTACCACAGTGCCTGGCGCACAGTAAGCGCTCAATAAATGTTTGTTGGCTGACTGAATGGTCCCCACCGCCCTGCAAAGACGGCAGTTGGAATTAATGCCAAACCCCAAGCCCCCATCCTCCCAGCCCAATTCTGGGACCTCTTTTTCCTGGCTCTCCGCTTGGGTGGGCAGGGTGGCGGGAACTGGATGCAGCTCAGAAACTGCCCGAGGTGGGGCATACAGGGAGCTTTCAGGAAAGCCAGGAGCAGGCAAAACCCCACCTTCCCACGCCTCAGGCCTTGGGTAGATCCGTCATCCACTCCCCTGGCACTCTGCTCTCTCTTGGGGCTAATTCCACCAGGCGCCCTGTGTGTCTCTCTCCATTAGAAAGGGAGTGCCCCCAGAAAGCTTCCTGTCCTGCTCCCTGCGCCCTAGGGCACCCTCCCACCGCACCTGGCGGATAAGCACATAGCAGGGTGCTGTGTGTGTGAGGAATAGATGCCAGGAGCCGATGCATGAGCCGAGCGAGCAAGTGCACAGAGCGTTGCGTGGCCTGGGCAGAGTGGGCTCTAGGCAAAGCCGGGCTGGGGGCGCCTGGTGAGTCCAGGAACGCATTTCGTCCCCACCCCCCTCCGCTTGCCCTCCAAGGTGTTGCAGAGTCTGGCGGCCTGAGCACCTGCAGGACCCCAGGAGCCCGGGGCAGTGGGCGCCACGCGCCGAAGGCACAGGGAAGGGGGAAGGGCTCAGGTGAGCTGAACCCAGTCTGAGGCTGGGGTGACAGACGCACAGAATGTGGGGTCCCCGAGACGCAAAGGGAGCAGAACATGGGGTGCCCCAGGCGTGGCACACTCTGAGCGTGGGGGTTCCCTGGCACACGTGTACAGCAGGTGGGGCGCCCAGGCGCAGGGGTCACGGAACGTAGGGTGCTCGAGGCTCATGGCACCGCGGGACTCCCGTGGGACGGGATGCGCAGAACGTGGGGTGTCCGAGGCGCGGGGCGCGGGCTGGTCCCGAGGCGCAAAGTAGCGTGCTCGAAGCGAGGAGCGCCCCGGGAGGAGAGTATTTGAGGCGTGGGGACCAACCGAGCCAGCCGTGCGGGGCGCACGGCGCGCGCGCGCTGGTTCCCGGAGCCCGGCTGCTGGCGTGGCCTCCACTGCGGCTGCGCAGCCGAAGGTCTGGGGCGGTGGGGGGAGGGGGCCGCCGGGACTCCGTGCACCCAGCCTCGAAGCACCCTTTTCCTCCTGAGCCCCCTGCCCAGGAGTCCAGGAGACGGATGGGATGGAGGCTGCTGAACCACTCCCGCCTGGGGCGCTCCCCTGACCACTAAGAGGTTCTGGAAAGGGGGTCCCGCCCAGTCCTTCTCTGGAGAGTGCCAGTTAGAACCACCGCCAAGGCTCGCTCCTAGGCTCCCTCTGCAGGGGAGGTGGCTGGGCTGCTCAGGGTTGGAGGGTGCGGTGGGGGGAGGAGGCCTGGAGCCTGAGGACTCTGGAGGTGGCCAGCTTTCCCTGAGCTCCACGCTCTGGTGCCCTGTGTTTACAGACAGCCGGCTGCCTGGATGTGGGGGAGGCTGTCTTGGTTGCCCGGGAGGCACAGCTCGCTCTCCCCAGCACCTCAAAGCCTTCTTGTGTCTTAACTGGTCCATATCTCAAAATGGGAAACTGAGGGATGGGGAGGTGGGGCCCCCACCTCCACCTCCATACCCAAGAGATCCGCAGTCAACCAAAGGTGCATGGGATCCTTTCTGCACCCATCAATGTCCACTGTATACCCTCGTGGTCCCCTAGATCCAGCTATCTGGTCACTTCTCAGATTCAGGGCAAAAGCTCTGCAGCCATGGAATCCCGGGCATGAAGGAGGAACGAAGGTGACCCGCCTTTTATGCCCTCTGTCCTAAGTTCTTGGTCTGGATTTGGTTCAAGTTTTGGGCTGTGACAATCCCTGCCCAGCCCTGGAATGATGGCTGTTCACAGAAGGCAACAGAGGGTGGCACAGGTTGCCACAGAGATGGGCTGTGATCACCCAGCCAGCCTGGAAGTCTGGCGTCCCTGCCCCTCCCCCAGTTCAGCCACCAGGACGTGCTTCTAGGAAGGGATTCTTAGAGGCCAAGTTCACTGCCTTGCAGATACTCAATTCAGGCTTTCTTAGATACTCACTTTTCCCATTCAAGTCTGCCCCAAGTGTTGTGTGCTTACCACCCCTACTCTGGAACCCTTCCTGCTCCTCACCCACTCTGCAAAAAGCCTGGTTAGCAGTGCATGCTCTACACACAGGGGGGACCTTTCCCCCCTCCAGCTCCTCAGCCAGGATCCCCTTCCTCTGAACTCCAGATCAGAATGTGTCCGCCCTACTGCTGAGACTCAGCCCGGCTTTGAACTTTGCTGGAGCCGCCTGAACATTTAGGCCTCACTTGGATGGACTCCCTTCCCCGAGGATCCAAACCCGGCTTTTGCTCCTCCAGAGCCCTCGTTCTCAGAGTTGCACCTACCTTTCAGAAAATGGAACCAGCAGCCGGGCTTCCAGGTCTGGTCTCCCGAGATCCGGACCGGATCTTACCTCCCAGGGCCCTCCCCCTGCCCCCCTCCCTCCCCTCCAGGATTCTGCCCCCATCCATCTCCCCCAACCCCCATCCTTCACTTGAGTTCTGCTGAAGTGCCTATTTTTGGCCTGGGGCCCGGTCTCATAGCCCCCACCGTGGGTCTTGGCAGTCACAGCTCCCTGGCTGCTGGGGGACCCGAGCCAGGCCGGACAGCCTTCCCCACCCCGGGAGAGGAGACGCGGGGTTCCTTCTGCAGCCTCAGCCCCAAACCTGCCCGCTGCCTCCCTCGGCCGACGCCTGGGAACCCGAGCCTGTTCCTTGCCCTACTTCTGAAGAGTCCGGCAGCTGCAGTGCAATTGCTAGATGGAGGCGATCCGCGCCGGGTTTTTGCTCTTGCCGAGAACATAGAATTCAATTTTTCTCCCCCCCCCCACAAAAGCAAGAAAATTGGGGCCGTTAAAAAAAACAAACCCCCCCCCAAACAAAACCCCCCGCAACCCCCGCCCCGCCGCGCCAAAACCCCCTCCCCGGGCCCCCGAAAACCATACGCGGGGGAGAGGGAGAGAGGTGTGTGTGTGGGGGGGCTCTCATCCCGTCCCCCGCGCTCCAGTCCCGGCTTTGCGTCCCTCCCGCGCCTCCCGCTGTAGGTCTGGTCTCCCAGGGCAGCGGCCTCAGCTCCGTCCCTTCGCGTCGCCCCTGGGTCCGGACCCCGCGTTCACCTGCCCGCCCCGGTGCGGCCGGCGCGCCGGATCCTCCCGTGCCCCGAGTCCAGCCCCCCTCGCGCCCCTCCCCGTGGCACGTCGCTGCCAGGCTGCTGGGGGCAGCCCCCTCCCGGCGCGCCCGGTCCCGGGCAGTCTGGGCCGGGTCTTGCGCGCGCCCACCGCATCGGGCCTGACGCATTGCTCCGTCTCCCGAGGAAGGATCCGGCCCGAGACTCGCGTGCCCGGGTGCACTTGGCCGCGTCGCGGCTGCCCCCCGCCCCGCTCCTCCCCGCGCCTGTCTAATCCAACCCGGGTTTTGCATAAGCCTCTCCCAGATCTCCCCGTCTCTGCCCGCACCGGGCCGGGCGCCTCGCCTTCCCTTCCCCGCGGGGGGCTCCGCTCCGGGTCTTCCGCGCGCCCGCCGCCCTGCCCCCACTCGCCGTCCGGCGCGGGGATCCGGCACGTCGCCTTCCTGCTCCCCGCTTTTCCAGGGTCCGCGGCGAGAGGAGGCGGCGGGGCGCGCGGTCCAGCCCGGGTTTTCGGGCCGGCTCCCCGTGCGCCCGGGCAGGCTGCGGCGGCCCGTCCCGCGCGGCGGCTCCAGGCCAGGCTTTGCGCGCGCCCGCCGCCCCCCTCCCGGAGCGGGTACGCCGCGGCGCGGGGCGAGCAGGCGGCTTGTCATTGCTGGTGCCCGGCGCCGGCTCGGTCCGCGGTCTCTGCGGGCCACGGGCCCGGCGCCGGCGCCCGGCCTCCTCCGGCCGCACCGGGCGCGACGCCGCGGCAACCCGCCATCCAGCCGCGTCCGCCCTCCGCGGCGCGCCCGCCGCGCCCCGCGGCCACTGCGGGGAGCGCTGGAGCCGTCGGAGCGGGAGACTGTCGGCGCTCGGCGCCCCCGCCCGGCCGTCTGCCGAGGAGGCCCGGCGATGGGGCGCAGCGGCCCCGGAGCGGCGCCGCCGGGCGGCGGGGGCCTGCAGGGGCGCCCCGGCTGCCCCGTTAACCCTCGGCCGCCTCGGCCGTCGGAGGGAGCTGGGGAGTCGCCTGGGCGCGCACGTGCCGCCTCCGTCGGGGCCGCGGAGCTGCGGGGGAGATGCGGGCCGCCGCCGGCGCCGCCTCGGGGCGCCCCGCCTCGCCTCAGCCCCCGGAGCTCTGACGCCGCCCCCGCGCCGCCGCCCCCACCGCCCGCCTCCCCGGGAGGGGCGCGGACCCGCTCGCCCCCAGCCCCGAGCCGCCGCCGCCGCCGCCGCCGCGAGGGGGCCGCCTTTGGAGCTGTGTGATCCGCCTTTTTTTTTTTTTTTTTTTAAATTTAATTTTTGGTCGGTGGCGGCGGTGCTGGGCCAGGGGAAGGAAGGGACACGGAGGCTGCTCTCGCCCGGCCACCCTCCACCCGCTTCCCCCCTGCCCCGGCTCCGGGAGATGTGCCGGGCGGGGGGCCCGGGTCCGCGGAGCCGCAGCAGGGACGCGCAGGGCCGACCCCGGGGCAGCGCTGGACAGGTGAGTGTCTGCGGACCCGGGGCCAGGGGGACGCCGCACCTGGGCCAGGTGTGCGCGGGGACGGGTGGGAAGGAGGGGAGCCGGGGCCTGGCCCGGCCTCGAGGGGGGAGGGGGTGCGGGAGCCGCGGGTCGCCGCACCTGGGCGGGAGGGGCTCCCCGCACCCCACCCCCGCTGGCGGAGGGGCCGGGAGGGGCGGCCCCCGCGGAGCGCCCTGGGCGCGGGGGCGCGGAGGGGCGGCCGCGGGGCGCCCGGCGGGGGGAGGGGACGGCGCGTGTGCCCGCGCGTGGCTGCGTGTGCCCGCGCGCACGCGCCAGCCTTTGTGGGGAAGCGGCGCGGCGGTGCCTGCGTGTCCGGTGCCGTGTGCCGCGCTGGCGGCTGGGCGCCACTGTATTGTGTAGGTGTCCTGGGGGGATGCGGGGGACGTCGGGGGTGCGCGCCGCGCGCGGGCCCCGGCCCCGGAGGAGCCGCGTCGGGGGCTGACACCGCGCGCTGCCGGGCCGGGGTTGTTTTTCTCCGGGAGGCAGCGGCGCGGGGGGCGGGGAGGGCCCGTCTGGGTGCCGCGCTGCCTGCGGCCCGGGGGGCGCCGCTGCCGGGCGGGGGTGCAGCCGGACGGCGGCGTCTTCCCGCGGTGCCAGGCTCGGCTTGGGAGGCTGTCAGCTTTGACCCACCCGGATTACCCGTGCTTTGAGGACGAACCCCCACCCCCACCCCAGGTGGGCATCGCGTGGAGCCGCAGGGGCTCCGCTGTCATCCTCCCAGCTGCGAGGCCAGGGGCCGAAGTGTGGGGGTGCTGCGTGTGTGCCAGCCGAGGCCAGAAAGTGACCTCCCAGGCTAGGGCCGGGGTGCCCCGGGCCCCACCTGAAGACAGCACCCTGCCCGCGCGCAGCCCCACGCACGCCCCTGGCCCTGCGCTTCGGTCCGGGTGGGCGCACGGCCCCATCCCCGGCGCGCGCCCCACTGTGCCTGCCTGGCCCCTTCACCCCAGCCCCTGCCCCCCAGCTGTGGCAGCTGCATGCGGTCCCCGCACCCCAGTTTGAGGCAGGACCCGCTTTGCTCCCGGCTTCTGCGGGACTGGGGCCTGCCTTCCCACATCCCAACATGTGGCGTGCCTGGGGGAGTAGGGGGAGGGGTTCAAAATGGCTGCCAAGATGGCTGGCCGCCTCCTCTCTCTCTCCCTCTCTCTCTCTCTCTCTGTCTCTCTCGCAGAGCAGAGGAGAGGAGGCTGGGCGGTGTGGGGACAGGTGCGGGGGACACCACAGGGTAGATGTCTCCTCTGGGCCTGTCCACCTCCATGCTGCTTGGGCAGAGGCCACTGGTCCCTGCGCCCTCTCCAGCACCCCAAGGCCGGCATGAGCCTGGAACGCGCCCAGCCCCGGCCCCCCACCCTGCCTGACAGCCCTCCACCCGCTGCCCTGCGCCTGGCACCCTGAATCCGTCCCTGGGGTGTCGGGTGGCCCACGAAGCGTCCACACCTCTCCTCCTGTTCATCTTCCCCACGGTGTCTGGCCAGGGCACCCTGCATGGCCGGGTCAGGCCCCAGCCCCGGGGGCAGGTGACTTCTCCCTCCTCCCCACTCCCCTCCCACCAATGCCAAATTTATTACTTAAAAGTAGGATGAAAACAGGGAGAATAAGAGAAGGAATACAACCTTCATTATCATATCGAGAAAATTATCCGTGATTTTCCTAACTAGCAATTTGCCTGCCATGCCGTTCCGAACTGACTTGCCCATTAATTACAGAGATGAAAAATCATCTGGAAAGCGGAAAAGGGAACTAATTCCGTGGCTGGCGGCGATCGCACCGGTGCGCGGAGCCACATACGTGTGTGCTCACGTGTGGGTGCCGGCCCCCCTGCTAGCACTGCCACCGTCTTCCTCCTGCCCCTGGTGACCTCCCTGGGGGCCTGGCTGCGCCCACCCCGTGTGCATGTGCGTGTGGCCCTGCCCTGGGTGCCCAGCTAGGCCCTCCTTCCCGCCCTCCGCCTGTCTCAACCCCCACTGGCGGGGGCTCGTGTGCCCCACCACCGCCCACGCTGGTGCCCGCCCTTGGGTTTTGGAGCCGGCCCCAGGGTTGGGGGAGGGTGGGGGGCCGGGGACCAGCACACCTGGGCCTCACGTGCAGGTAGGGGGTGGAAGGTGTGAGCCTGGAAGCCCCGCGTCTATCCCTGCCTGCCCAGGGGAGCTCCCTCCCCCGGGGGTCCTAGGAGGGCCCTGCGGGCACACGGAGAGGCCGGGAGCCCGTTGGCACCGAGCGGCCTGGGCGTATGCTGCTGGTGGGTCTGCCTGCCGGGGGCTGCCTGTGTCTGGGGCGCCCGTCCCCTGCCCTGCCAGGCTGGCGGCAGAGCGTGGGACAGGCGGCACCTCTGCCCTGTGCAGGTATCTCGGTGGGGGTGGGGGGCAGGCAGCGGCACCCCAGGGGGGAGCAGGGGGCACACCCCATTCCTGCGCTCCGGCTGCAGGGAGCCCGAGCGTCACTCTGCCCCCCCTGCCTCCCTGGCCAGACGCGTGGCCAAGGACACGCAGGGCTCCGGTTTCCTTGTGGGCTCCTCTCTCTCGGATCCGGTTTCCAGACGCCAGACGCCTCCCCTCCCCCAGCCCCTCCGTGGGGAGCGAGGGGAGGGGCCCTGGGGGTGGGGGTTCCTCGTGTCCGTGTCCGGGACCCCCGCCGGTGACCCCGGAGGTGCCTGGGCAGGCGAGGGCCGGCGTCCCTCCCAGGCGGGGCCGGGTCGGATGCCCTGACCTGATGGGGCGGAAGGTGGGGTCCTGGCTCGGGGGGAGGCTAAGTAGCGACATGGGAGGGGCTCCCGCTGCCCCTGGAATCCAGTCCTCTGCCGGCTGTCCGTGTGTGCCTGTGTGTGCGTGTTCTCGCGTGCGTGGCTCGGGTGGTAATCCGGCCAGGCGTGTGCGTGCGTGCCCACGTGTCCAGCGGGCTCATCCGGTGGCCCCTTGTGTGCTGGCGTCTGCGAGCTTGGCCGAGGGGTGTCTGCGTGCGTGGGTTGGGGGTCCACGGAGGAGCAGCTGTTCGTGTGCACAGGCGGGCGCACCTGCGGGCGTGTGCTCAGGTGTGCGTTCTCGGGCTCCTCGGGGCCAGGCCGGGCGCACCCCGTCCTGCAGCCTGCACACGCCCGCCTCCCGCTTTGTCCGCCCGGCGCCACGCTGGGGTCGCTGTGGGGACGGCGGCCATGTCCCGTCCCTGCTGGACTGCCCGCAGTCCAGGAACACGCGTGCAGTTTCCGTCAAGGGCCGCTGTTTTGGGAGTTGAGGAAGAGGCCGTGTCTCGCCCTCTGGGGCGGACGGGGTCCCAGCTGGGGAGGGTGGCCCAGGCTCTGAGTGCAGCGGCCCCCCAAGCCCCTGCACCCCGGCACCACATCAGTCCCAGGCTTGGGGCGTCCTGGGGTCGGGCCCCGCACCCCTTCCCTCCTCACCCCTCCCTCCTCGATGCACCTGCCACGCTCTAGGCTCGAGCCAGCCCCAGGACCTTTGCACTGGCTGTTCCTTGCACCCGAGGGCCTCCCCCAGACATCTGCGAGCTTTTGCTCCCTGCCCCCCTCGGATGTCACCTCCCCCGTAACCTTTAGCCCGTGCACCCTGTTTAGAGTCGCAGCTTCCCACGTTCCTTCTGACTCTCCGTACGTCCCTGGCGTTTCACGTCCTCTGCAGCCTCCTGGCGTTTTGCGCCTGTTTGTTTACCGTCTGTCTCCCCGACAAGGGTCCAAGGCTCCGGGGACGTTGCCACTCGGCTTCCGGACCTCAGGCACCCAGGGTCGTACCCGGCCCACAGGAGGTGTGCGAGAAGTCGCACCTGAGTCAGTAGGAGGCAGCCCCTCCAAAGGCCTGCAGGTCCCCCCGTCCCTGCCTCGCGACCCCCCTCCAGCCCCTGCCCTGCACCTGTCCCTGAGCGCACACCTGTGCGGACTTGGCGGCCGCTTCATGGCACCGGAGGGTGTGAGGTCATCTCCGTGGGCAGGCGGCTCCTGGCATACTATGTGCGCTGCAGGGTTAGATCCCGGAGCGGGGACATGGGGACCCGTGCCCTTGCCAGGGGTAGGAGCCCCTGGGGCCAAGGCCGGAGCAGCCCCTCCCCCTCCTCCCGGGCACGGACCCCAGCCCCCCTCCATGGGATGGGACCCTCGTCTGCCCCGCGCTAGGGACCTAGCCAGACAGAAGCCCCCCCCAGCTTCCCCGCCTCCCACTCCAAAATTTGGGGAAAGAGAAACATTCGATAAATAGATACCGAGGCTAAAAGTAACCGTGCAAGTCACAAACGGGCAAACCAGGAAGGCAGGTGCGCTTTCTCCTTTCTGCCCCTCGAGGAGGTGGCGCGGGCAGCCGCGGGGCCCAGGCCTGGCTCTGTGGGACAGGGCTTCCCAGCCCGGCTCCCGGCTTTGGCGCCACCGGGCACTCTCTGTGGGGGGCCGTCCTGTGCGTGGAGGTTGCTTAGCAACAGCCCTGGCCTCCACCCCCGAGATGCCAGGAACACCCTCCCCCCGTGGTGACGCCTCAGAGTATCCGCAGATGATACTAAACGTCCCTGTCCCAGGGGCCGGGGCCAGCGGCGTCCTGGGTTGAGCCCCATGGAGTAGAGACTGGCAAAGTTTCCTGCAAACAGCCGGCGCATAAAGGTTGCAGGCGTGTGGGCGGCCGACGGGCTCTATGGCAGGTTCTTTTTTCTCTTCTTCTGCTCATCCCTTTGCAAACGTGAAAACCATTCTGGGCTCACGCCAGCTGCACAAAACCAGGCCGGGGTTGGCCCACCTCTGCCCTAGGGCGCCCCCCAGTGGCCGCCGGCGGTGGCGGTTGGAGCACCCACGGGTTCTCGGGCATCACTGGGGGGGGGAGCATTTGTGTACCTAAGTGCACGGCGAGTCCCCACACAGTCTGTCCCCAACACCTCCCCGTTCTCACCTCCTCTTCCTCCTCCCCAAGCTCACAGCCCCGCGGTCACACTGGCTTCCCTGCTGCCCCCCGTCAGCCCCAGGGCCTTTGCACGTGCCATGT